AAAAAAAAAAAAAGGGAACCCAGCCAAGCCGACAGCCCCACTTGGAAAATTGGTAAGGAAGCTTGATTTCCCCTTCCTTTCTTGCTCTAGAACACATCTAGAACCCAGAAACATTTCCCCCCTGCAGAGAATTTCGGATCTGCTCTGTCCTTCCTCCCCTGTCCGCCGGCTGCTAGTGGGTATGCGAATTTCTGGGCATTTTTCTGGTAAGATTCAGCCAAGAAATCATCTCTTTAGCTTTGATTTGGGCTTTAGTTAACTTTGATTTCTCTTGGTTCTTGAATTTTGGGTTGATCCCGTGAGCTTCCCCTGCAGAAATTGTCGCCGGCTCTTCCCCAAATTGCAGTTCGGTTGTGCTAGGAAAATTCTGGTATGTAGCAGCTCCTCTAAGCCCAAATTCCACCCATTTAATTGCTGAAATTTAGCCATCTAATTATTGCCTATGTTGTCCGAATTTTGCTGAAAATGGGGATGAAATTGGATAGTAATTAGAGCATAATTAAGCTTAATTCATGTGTAAATTGCTTGAGCTGGCTGTTGTGATTTTTGGAGAACAATCCCGTGAAATTAGCTAGTGTTTTGGCCAATTTTTGGAAGTTGGAGTTACTGTTCACGTCGTGGTTACTGTTCACGGGTACTGTTCATAAGTACTCTTCACGCACTAATGGCCAACAATTAACGGGATTTAATTGATTAGTTTGTGATATAAGAACAAATTTGGAGATGTTTGGTTATGTAAAGACTGATAGAAATAGCATCGTGATTAGGGGGGTAATCCTAATGAAGTTTCACCTTGCATTTGTGATAGTACGGTAATTAATTCTGGAATATTTTGATTAGGTTCCTGATCGTTCTATCAGTTTAGTACTGAGATCGAGTCTTCGGTTTTATGCAAGTGAGGTAAGTAAATTTATGGTAATGCCCATACAGTTTTTAAAAGCATGTTTTGATTTGTTTTGAAGTGGTGGCGAGACTAAACCCGTTTTACACAAGTATGATTGATTTGAAGTGGAATTTTTATACTTTTCATTAAATTGAGCATGCTTACTTGAAATTTAATTGATTGTCCTGATGATTTGAAAGTGATCGGTGAATTATGATTTTTCTTTTAACTTCAGCCTGTTTTGTCTCCGATGTGGTCATGTTATTAATGACCCTGCTAGTGGGGGAGTTTATAAACGCTAGCATATGTTGATATGTATTTCTATAGAGCCGGTTCCTCCTGCCAGTAGGAGTTGTTAAACATTGGTATTTCAGTGACCTTGCTAGTGGGGATTATACACCAGCAAATAGTGTGCCTGCCAGTGGGAGGTTTATAACACTGGCCGTGACCTATAGAGAAGACGTCTATTTCATTCCCGTACTGTATCCATTTTTCATGATTGCACTTGTTGGCATGCTATAAGTTTAATAAGGGGCACTCCATATTTTACTTACTGAGTTTATCTCATAGTTTTTCCTTATCCACCATTTCAGGAAGCGAAACCGAGGACGAGAAAACCACGGGAAGTGACGAGTTAGAAGGCTAGCCATTTTGAGATTGATATAGATTTTAGAAATAAATCATGATCTTGTAAACTAGAGTGTATTTGGAGATTTTATGATATTAGAGCAAATTATAAAATTTGATCTTCAGATTTTGATGGTATCAGATTGTGATATGATTAAGTTCCGAGCTTTGTGCATTTGTGGGACCTTTTCACGAGTGCATGGCGTCTACCATGTCCTCAGATTTGGGTTCTGGGGCATGACGCATATTATGCATATTTGATCTAGGGTAGAGTTGCAGGTGAGGAAGTAAGATAGAATGAAAATAGAACGAAAGGAACTTGGGTTGGAAATAGTACCTGTGGCAGTTCGGCTTATTGTTCTATATGCCTAGAGGACGTTGTTGAGCTCATCTGCCCACCTGGCCTTGTGCTGTTCCAACCTCGGCTTTATTCCTTCTAAGATGGCTTTATTAACAGATTCTACCATACCATCGGACTCCGGGTGGTACACCAAAGTGAACTGTAATTTGATCCTATAATTAGAGCAGAAATCTCTGAATGAGGAGCAGTTGAACTAAGTTCCATTATCAGCCACAATCTAATTCGCGATCCAATATTTGCAGATGATTGAGTTGAAAACAAAGTTTTCAACCTTCTTGGAGGTGAGACTGGATAATGGCCGAGCTTCAACCCATTTCGTAAAATAATCCACACAAACAATTAGATTGGTTACACCTCCTACCTCCTTCATAAATGGACCTAAAAGATTAAGTCCCCACTGAGCAAATGGCCAAGGTGCTACCAGATTAGTGAGCTATTTTGTTGGCTGGTGAGTTAGATGTGCGAAGAACTAACATTTCTAACACCTCTGTACGAACTGAGTGACATCTTTATACATGTTGGGCCAATAATATCCTTGTCTAAGGACTTTATGAGCCAAAGTTCGAGCACCAATGTGACTTCCGCAGACACCTTCATGCATCTCCTGAAGTGCGTACTCAGCTTCATAGGAATTCAAGCACCGTAGAAGAGGGAGTGAGAAAGATCTTTTATAGAGGACTCCATCAACGAGTGTATACCGAGATGCTTTCTTCCTCAACCTCATTTCCTCTTCCTTGTCTTCAGGTACTATCCCGTCTCGTAAAAAAGAGGTAATTGAGTCAGTCTAGCTCGGTGTGTCCAGGTCTATACTGATCTCCATCATTCGTGGCTTTATGAAGCTTGATTCATCTAAGATTTCCACAAAAACTTATCTGAAATTTAAAGAGCTATCAGAGGCAAAATTAGAGAGTGAATCTGCATATTCATTCTTAGTTCGGGGAATTTTGCAGACAGAATTTCTGGAATTTGCACTTCAGCTCGGCCACCAGGGCTACATATTTCACCATTACAGGATCAACGATTTCGCAGATTGAGTTGACTTGATTAACCACAAGCTAGGAGTCACTGTACAATTGGATCGCCCTGACTTTCAACTCCAATGCTAGTTGCAAACCAAGTATCAGAGCTTCATACTCAGCCATATTGTTTGTTGTATCAAAGTTAAATTTCAGAGTATGTTCACTCCGGTATCCATCTGGGCCAATTAAGAGAGCACCAGCTCCTAAACCCTTGTTACTAGATGCTCCATCAACATATAAGGTCCAGTCATTGGGCTTAGGATTAGGGGTTGAGTGACATGGAGTGCACTCTACGATGAAATCTACCAGTGCTTGAGCTTGAATTGCAGATCTCTGTTGAAATGTTATCTCGAATTCCCCTAGTTCAACTACCCATTTGATCAATCTTCTTGAGCATTCTAGCTTTTGTAAAATTTGTCTGAGGGGTTGGTCTGTGAGGACTATGATTGGATGTGATTGGATGTGATTGGATGTGATTGGAAATATGGTCTCAGCTTCCTAGCCGAGGTGATGACTGCTAAAGCTGTTTTCTAGGCAATAGAATATCTGATTTCAGCTCCATGTAATACACTGCTGGTATAATAAACTGACTTCTGTTGCTTCCCTTCTTCTCTTACTAGCACGGAACTAATAGCTTCATCTGATATACCGAGGTACAAGTAAAGGATTTCTCCATCATTAGCTTTTGTCAGCAAAGGGGGTGAGCTAAGATAGGACTTCAGCTCGCCAAATGCAGCTTGGCATTCTGAATTCCATTCAAATTTCTTTTGTTTGCCAGATTCATCCTTTTGGGCTGCTAATCTCATGATCTTGAAGAATGACAGGCATTTATCTGTTGATTTCGAGATGAATCTATGAAGAGCTGCTACTCTCCCTATCAGCCTCTGTACGTCTTTTACTGACTTCGGTGGTTCCATTTCAGCCACTGCTTTGATCTTCTCGGAGTTAACCTCAATCCTCCTTCTAGATACCATGAAGCCTAAAAATTTTCCAAACTCCACACCAAAGATGCATTTTGCTGGATTCAACCTCATTCTATTCTTTTTGAGATTGTTGAATGTCTCCTTGAGGTCATTTAAATGATCTTCAGCTTTCAAACTCTTTACCACGATATCATCAACATAAACTTCCAAATTCTAGCCTATTTGAGCTCGGAATACGATGATAACCATCTTCTGGTAAGTGGTACTTGCGTTCTTTAAGCCGAAGGACATCATCATGTAGCAATAGATTTCGTCTCCGGCATAGAATGAGGTTTTTTCTTTGTCCTCAGGAGCCATCGTGACTTGGTGGTAACCAGAGTATGCATCCAAGAGACTTAACCTCTCGTTTCCAGAAGCTGCCTCAACTAGCTTGTCGATGTTTGGCATTGGGTAATAGTCTTTTGGACATGCCTGGTTGAGATTAGTGTAATCGATGTACATCCGCCATTTACCATTTACTTTTTTTTACCAACATAGGATTGGTGACCCATTCACAATAATCAACCCGTTTGACGAAGCCAGCTTGTAAGAGTTTTTCAACTTTTTCCTTTATGACCTTTAACCTTTCCCCCCCAAAGAGGCGCCGCTTCTGTGCCATTGGTTTCTTAAGCAGATTAGTGCTGAGTTTGTGTTGAGATACAGAGGTGGGAATCCCTGGCATGTCTATTGAGGTCCATGCAAAAACATCTTTGTTAGCTTGGAGAAAGGTTATCAATTCTGCTTTCTCCTCAGGGTTCAACCAAGTTCCTATCCGTGTTTTTCTGTTCGGATCTTTTTATCAATCTGTACCTCCTCTACATCTTCACCCGGAGCAGCTCAGGTTTCATCTTCAGGTCGGTTATCGAGGATTTCAACCCCCATCACCTGTCAATTGTCATGGATTTTTTGTGGAGGATTCTCTGCTGGTTGATCTGTGTTTTTCTTTGGCCTTGTGACTGAAGTGAGATAGCAATGTCTAGCCACTTCCTGGTTACCTATGAGTGTTGCAATTCCCATGGGGGTTGGAAATTTCATGCAGAGATGAGATTGAGAGACCACAGCGCGGATCTCTATTAATGTGGGCCGGCCAATGACAACCTTGAAAGAAGAAGGCATCTTGACTACCAGAAATCGAAATGAAGGAGTCACATAGGTTCGGCCACTCCCAAATGCAACATTCATGGTTAGGATTCCTTCAACTTGAACTGGTTGGTTGTTGAAGCCATATATGGGACCATCGTAACATTATAGCAGAGCTGGATCGAGCCCTAGGCTCTCAAAACAGTGGTAGTACATGATGTCGGGTGCACTGCCAGTGTCAACAAGTACACGCTAGACTTAACAGTTGTTGATCATTACTGAGGTGACCAAAGAGTCATTGTGAGGTATTGCCACCCCTTCAAAATCGGCGGGTGTAAAAGTGATTGGTTGATCTTTCCAATCAGCATCATCAAGTTTCCTTTTATGAGCTTGGTTCTGGTGCTTTACCTGTCTGACATATAACTTTCTCTATTTGGAGCTCAACCCCCTGCTTCCAATCCTCCTGTAATCATGTGTATAATTCTGGCTGGCGGTGGAAGTGGAGGTGGGGCTTGTTGATACCCCATTCCTTGCCTGTTTGGTGGATTACGAATTCCTTGCGGCTGCGACCCCTGTTCTCTGACAAATCTTGGTTGTTCATCTCTCTGGATGTACTCATTCAACATTCCTTTCTAAACTAGACTTTCCAGTTCGGACCTCAGACTGTTGCATTGCTCTATTGTTTGATCGTGGTCTTGATGAAAATCACAATATCTAGTATGATCTCGGGTAGCAGCAGCAGTTCTCATTGGGCCCCGATGCCTTAAGTCCATCTTATAATTAATCTGCATGAAAATCTGTGACCTCGGCAAATTAAAAGGGGTTCAAGTAACTAGAGGTTTACCTGCAGATTGTTGTGGAGGTGCTGAGTTCGGCTTTCTGAATCTCGGTGTGGAGGTCGACATTGAACCTCAGTTTTGTGCTGTCCTCATCCATTTCTTGCTCTAATTCTCATCTCTCCAGTTTGGGTTTTGGTTCTTAGAGGGGGTTGGCTTCTACGACAAGGCATATTCCTCAGTAGTTATGAATTTCAGGGATCTATCATTCACCTCGTTAAAGGTTGTAGTAGGATGCTTGATCAAACTATCTCTGAATGTTTCATGGTTAAGACTTGAGATCATAGTGGCAATTCCCACAGCCTGGTCGAAGGAGCTAACTTCCAACACTGCATCATTGAATCTGCTCATGTAATTCTTCAAAGATTCTTCATCCCTTTGTTTAAATCGCATCAACTCAAAAGTAGTTTTCCTGATCAACCTTTTATTGGAAAACTTTGTGGCAAAAGCAGATGCCATTTCTGTATACGAGCTAATTGACCTCGGAGGTAGGCTGTAATACCAGGTTCGAGCATTACCTCGGAGAGTAAAGGGAAAGATTTTGCACATCAACGCGTCTCAGAGGCGTTTTGAGCTTGCATACAAGAGTAGAAAGCATGTATGTGATCATTGAGGTCCTTCGTCCCATCATAAGTCTCAAGCTGTGGTATTTTAAAGCCAACGGGATAGGGTTCCAATGTGATGTTGATGTTCAGAGGATGGGGTATGGAGTCAGCAGTATGGTGTGGAGGTGGGACATCTCGCTGTTCAACTACCAATTTTTCTAAGCTGTCTAGATGTCAAGTGACATCATCAGGAAAGGGTTGTTAAGCTGGTGCTATGTGAGATTGACCCTGAGATTCACTAAGAGCAGGAGCATGCTGAACTGGTTGAGGGTCTTGTTGTGGAGCTGGGGATTATGGAGCAAGGTTGAGTAAATTAATGAGGGGATCACCAGGGTTGTTCCGAGCTAAGAGCTGAGCCAATACTAATTGAAAGACACCAAACTGTTGTTGCATGGTAGCAAGCTGAGCTGTAACTACGTCTTGGTTGGCGGTGGAAGCTGAGTTATGAGCTGAGTTGTGCAGTTGGTTTTCATCTCCTCTTTCTGCATGATCAACAAGAGGGAACATATTTGGGATTGGAGGTGGGAGGTTAGATGGAAGGTTGTTTGGGACTTGACCTTGTCCAAGAGGTTGAGATGGATTTCCAACTCGGACTGATCGAGTGTTAACCATTATGAGAGAGCAACAAGAGAGCTTTTAGTTTGGATTTCCACAGACGGCGCCAAATGTAATTGCACCAAACCAGAGGTCCTTCTTCAATTTGCGTCTTCACTTCGGATGAACCTGCAAAGCCCCGAGGTGGGTCCTCGAGGTAGACACTCCGATGCTTAAGTCAGCAATAATCGGGTCTATCTCTAAACTAATGAAAAAGGAGCTTTAGGAAGGTTTCAATTACCTTCTTGACGTGGCCCCTAGGGGTATTTATAAGCCTTCGTGAGGTATCCACGTGGCTTGCTTAGCAAGATGATCGGAGTATGACGTGTCCCTTAAAGAGATAAATTTGGGACCGGCAACAAATTCAGGACTGGGGAATTGTGTGATAAATCAGGTCTGGGTATGCCCACTGTATTTATCGTGCAGCCATTTGACTGGAAGTGCTAGATTTAACTTCACTTCGACTATTAAGGAATTGTTATAGTAGGTTCGAGGTTAAGGACCTCGAACCTATCCTTACAAGTCCCGATGTAAATAATTTATCTTTGACGAGAAAGGAAGGATTAGAACTGAGGTAGCACCAAGATTGAAAAAAAAAATAGTTGAGGTGGACAAATTCATTTCGGAACACCCTAAGATATAATCTATGTGAAAAGAAGAAGAAATATTTTGCTTCCTAATTATTAATATTAAAAAATAATTTATTGACATTTTTTCTTAATAATAAAACCTTAAAATATAATATGAAGTAATTTTTATTGACTCTTCTTAATTTATGTGAAATGATTGATAATGTGTATATCCACTTATTTGATATTATATATATATATATATGCAAACATTATAAACTTTTTTTTTCTAAGATGTTCACTATCAAAAAGTCAAAACAAATTAATTTTTATGTAGATGAAGCCTTAAACAAGACAGAGCATATTTTCAAATCTTTGATTTTAATTACGATGGCCTAAAATACGTTGTATTTATTTATATTTATAATTCATTAGAATCAATCAAATAATAATCAATAAACACAGTAAATGTCTCCAAAAGGGATATCTTAATTAGGGCTTATTTGGCATAGTGGTTTTGGGGTAACGATTAACGGTTTTACCTAAACCGCTAAATATACGTGTTTGGTAAATTTATATATTTTGAAACTGCTACAAATAAGGTGTTTGGTAAAATTTTTATTTAACAGTTTGGGACTATCGGATAGTAGTTAAAATTCAAACCGTTAGCGGATTGAAGAAGCTAGTTTAGGTAGTTTTTTGTACCAATCCGCTAGCAGATTGAAAATTTTTAATTGTATTGAAAAATTTATCCATTTTTATTTTTTAAATTTTAATCACATTTTTTAATTAATATTTTTCTAATAAGTTTGAATTTTATTTTTTTTCCTTTAATAACATTAAGCAATTATAATATTTTTATTTTATACATTAATTTATCATTAAAAAATATATTATCTTAAAAAACAAAATTTACTAATTAGACAAAATGATTATTTTTTATTTAAAAATAATATAATTTTTTCTTTGTTAAAAATAAAAATGAA